TAACAGTGTTAATTATATAAGCAGCATGCTTCATCACCTCCTGGTTTGTGGTCTTATTCTGATTCTTAAGAAACTGGTGCAAAAGCTTCTCAGGAAGGGTGCCTGTCTCATAAAGTCTCTAAAGGACTCTTGTACATTGGGAGAATTGTATTACCACCCCTCAAGAAAAGAAATAAAGGGCAGTAGACAGAAATGACTGCTATGCATGTGATAATTACTTTGAAGTGAGGAGAGAAAAAGGTGTGAGAACATGTGGCTCTTTCAATACTTAACAGAGTCTTGAAAATAGCAGTCCAGATTTTGTCTTCTGTCAGAGAAACAGTTATCTTTGTTTAGGTCCCTCACAGGGCTTTACTAACTAAACAAAAATCACACATTTGGGGGCATGCCTGTGGATAGATATTCAGTGTCGTTTTTGTGCTTTTGTAACATTTCAGGTCTCAGCTGTTTACCAGTGGTATTAAGAGCATGAACATTGGAGCTAGATGGCCTGTATTTTAATGCTGCTCTGTCATTTAATGTCTCTGTGGCCTCATGCACTTTATTTAACCTTTTTTTTCTCATGGTACTTACCACATAGATTGGTTGCAAATATTAAATAAGTTAATATGTTTCAAATACTTAGAACATTGCCTGAAGTCTGTTAAGAGGTATGTAAGTGTTACATTTTTAAGGTAGCAATGATAGCTACCACCAACACTATTACTACCCTCACTAGACCAAAATCATATGTGTTATTTTGAAACTTCTCTGGCTAAAGTCATGAAACCATTTGGTTTCATGCAAGGAATGTTGAGTAGATTTAAATCTCAAGGACAATTTTTGTTATTTTTTCCTCAGTTGAGGTTTTAGGTACTGTGACAGAGTGGAAAAGATGTCCCAAGCATAGGCATTAGGCAGGCTTGACTTCATGTGCTAACTATGCTGTGTATTTCTAGTTTGATCATAGCTTATTTCTTGAACCTCGGTTGTCATAGCTGTAAAGGACTAACACCCATGACGTTATTGGAACACTGAGATTTTTCTCCACTATATCCCTGAAGTCTAGCATAATGTCTGTTACATAGTAGGAACTCAGATGGTAACTGAGACTTATCCCCTCATTTCTTCTGTGTCTGTCTGTGGGGTGTGAGAGTGTATATGTTCATCTATGAGTATTGTCCCCTTGTAATGACTTGTATGGGGATTGCTATGATGGAACTTGTCCAGCTAAGGAGTGGCTCCCCCAACTTAACCTGATTAGCCGCAGTTGATATAAATCATTTTTAGGAACATCTTTTTTTCCCCCATTCTTACATTTCTTAGAAAACTCATTTATGATATGGTCATCTAGAGGTAGATTTTGTTCATTTTTTTTGTGGAGAAGTTATAATCAGAGAACAGGTTTTTGGACCAGTTTATATCAAGATGTGCTTCGGTTATCTTGAAGTAATTTGGGCAGTTGAGTTCAGTGATAGTGGCACTGTTGTTGAAACACCAACCTCTTTGTATCTTTTCATTCACGATACTATTGTTAACATTACTTCATATGATCCTCTTCTCTGTACCTCCACTTTCCTCCCATCAAAGTCATTTGGTAAAAGTGCCAAAGTGAGAAGATTGCTATGCTTTGCTCCAGAGAGTGCTTACATATATCTGGGGTTGGGCCGAGGAATCTATAGGTGATCAAAGTGTATGATCACTTTTTGTTTCTTGTAAAAAC